GGAAATAATTTGTATTCTTTTATTTCATTGTTTAATTCGTAGCCGGCACAATGTAAGAAATGAAGATGTTTACACTGTTATGAACATGTTTATACATTTGGCACAGAAAGAAAAATTCAAATTGAATATTAGGAAAACAAATTTTTTCACTAAAAGTGTGCTAAGTGGTCCTTTTTTGTAAAAAATAATTGATAAAATATATCAAATTTCATTAATTTAAATGAATGCTGTTATTTGGTACATATTTCAGCTAATTAAACTGAGTCTTTTATGAAGCTAAAAGTTCACAGGTACTTAAATATGGATAATTGTGCAAATTTATTATTATCTATTATTATCATGAAACTACAGAACTACAATTTTTTAGTGTCCCAATGTAGGTTTGAGTAATTTTACAATCGTTAAAAACAAACAAATTGAACTACTTTTGTTAAATTCTTATTCAGGAGTGAGTTGGTGCAGGTTAAAAGTGCAATTATCATGAATTTTTAACAATCATATGTGTGTTATTTTAGAATATCAGATTTAATACAAGTTTTCTGGAAGACAACATAAAGAGCAACAGTTTTACAGACAGTTAACATCCTTTTTCCCATATATCTTATTTCTGGAAAGGTTCAACACACCTAACAGCTGCAGTAAAACATACGGCTGATACTTATGAAGAAATTGGAAAACTTTATGAAGAGCAGGTAAAACTTTTCCCAATTAAAAAATAAATAATAATAAAAAAATCATTGTAAATTGATCTCTCTCAAGTTCTTATTGTTAACAAAGTTTGTTAACATTTTTATTATTAAGGTAAAGATGTTTGTTTATAATTTGATTTGTGCCACATATCTAGTTTGATATTGTCCCATAGTGAATCAGCAATAAACTTGAAGACTTAACACTAAAATTCAGCACAAATAAACCCATTGTTTAGTTTTGCTATTAAAAACAATCAAACAAGTAGTCTTTTTAAATGAAAGTTCTTAGATATTATGTTTATTTTTGTTTTCTCCCAAAAAGAAAAAGAGTAGCTGGTTTTGACTTGTAACTAATTTATTTAAGAATTAGTTGTTGTTTTTCTTGAGGAAATGTGGTTTTTCAGTTTCATTAAATAACTTAAGTAAAAATCTTAAACACAACATAAATTTGTATTTTATAACCAGCTGGATGTTGTTGTCCAATAAAAAACAGTAAACACAATTTTGGAGGTTGCATTGCAAGCTTTAAACTTAGTTGAAAACAATGATGCAACTGTGTTGAGTGTACCCTAGTGGTTAGTGTGCTGGACTATCAGTTTGAGAGTCCATTGTTCAAGTTCTACTGTCCAAAAGTTCTGCTCTGCATGTTAGGACCATGGGCACATTATACGAGTAATGGTCAAATCCCACTACTTGATTAGAGTAACTCGAGAGTTGGCAGTTGGTACTGTTGATTAACTGACTTTTCTGTAGTCTATCAATTCAAAATGAAGGACAGACAGTGAAGATAACTTTTTTGTATGAGTATTCAAAATAATTGATGCAACTGGCCTTCTAGTAGCACACTGATAACAGTAAAGTTCAGCATTGGATACCTTCGATAGACACAGCATAGATAGCCATTGCATAGCTGTGTGCTTAAAAATAAAAAACAAACTTAGATAACGTGATAATAAAGAAGCACCATTGAAAAAGCCATTAATAGATGAAATAGCTGAGTTGCTTGCATACTTCTATACTTACTTGATCCTTTGGGTCGGAGTATATATTTGTATTTTAGTCAACTCCATATTTGTTTAGTAGAGGCTTATCCTTTCATGCTGGATTATTTGATAGTTTTGCATTATATCAGTTATTCTCTCTGTCACACAGCATGTCAAAGAACTTGTATAGTTACTTCTGGTTACAGCTGTTCATGTGTGAAGCTGTCTTTACATATTATTCGGCCCGGCATGGCCAGGTGGTTGGGGCGTTCGACTCGCAATCTGAGGGTCGCGGGTTCGAATCCCCGTCACACCAAACACGCTCGCCCTTTCAGCCGTGGGGACGTTATAGTGTGACGGTCAATCCCACTATTCGTTGGTAAAAGAGTAGCCCAAGAGTTGGCGGTGGGTGGTGATGACCAGCTGCCTTCCCTCTAGTCTTACACTGCTAAATTAGGGACGGCTAGCGCAGATAGCCCTCGTGTAGCTTTGCGTGAAATTCAAAACAAAACAAAACATATTATTCTGCATGAGATTATTTTTTATGAGTAATATCTTTCATTTGATGTTACAGTCAGTTGCTAAATATAGAGAACTGAACAGAAGTTATTTTAGGACCTATCAAGTTATTGCCTTTGTTTCATTGAATTCACATAAATTTCAAATTGTAGCTACTTATACTTATTTTACAGACAAAAGTGTTTACAAAAGTTCAGTTAAGTGTAGCGTTTTGTTTGGCAAAAATATTATAATACACTCTTCTTTACTTTCAGTCAGAAGCTATTGTTATTAAAATTGGATAATATGTTTGTTAGTACAAGTTGTATTGTTATTTACTTTTAATAGTAATTTTTAAAATACTACTACTTCATGATTTTTGAAAAGTAAATTCACTTTTTTCTTCACACTTGTCTTTTTGATTGGCATTAGTTTTGTTGATATCTTTCACTACATGAATGCACTAAGTATCTAAACTTCTGAAACTAAATGAACTAAGACAGATCTTTTCTTCTAACAGAGCTATAGTATCCAAGCTTTGGTTTGCTGGTTGAAAGAAAATTGATTACTGTACTTGGAAGTTTGTAGTAAAACTTGACCAGTTTTTGCCAGCAAATCAGAATAAGTGAACATTAACCTTAGAATTATCAGTGGAAGTGCATATGGACCCCATTGGCATTTTAAAAAAAAACTGTGATAAATCATGACCAAATTGCTTGTGGATCTGTGACTTTGTTTATAGTGTCTACAAGGTCATAAAATCATAAAAATTGAAAGGTCATAGTAAAAGTCATAAAATGTAGTAGTCAGGTCATAAAATCAAAATTTTTTGTTACTATTGCACATTGGTATTTGGTAGCAAATTTGAAATAACATCAAATATGAAATAATAATAATAAGATAAAATAATGGTAAATGTATAATTAAATTATTCATTATTTAAAATAAAATTATTTTTATTATTAAATATATGTAATAAAATTATTACACAAAAGAATGATCCTGTTTTTTTACAAGAAGTGAGCCAATTCAACAAATCTGTTGCACTGAACTAACCACACTGTATCATTCACAAGAATTGAGGAATTCCCAGACTAGGGCAGAAATATTTGCTTTGAAGCTCATTGATTCACCCAGTTCTGTGCATTCTGATCATTCTGGAGACATATTCAGAGTAATGTTTCCTGTGAGTGAGGTAGCAAAAGCATTTAAAATGTCTATGGATAAGACTTCCTATACTATAAACTTTGGACTTGGTGTTTATTACCAGGCAAAGGCATTTGAATTCATGAGACAGTGCAAGCATTTTGTTGCACACTTTGATGAATCTCTTAATAAAGTGGCTCAGAGAGAACAAGTAGATTTGCATATCCAGTACACTGATGAGTTCAACCTAATTGCCACAAGGTACATAACCTCCTCATTTTTGGGTCACACAACAGCTGAGAAGCTTTTGGTTGCTATCAAAAAACTGTTTTCCCAATGTTAGCAGGTTGGAAAATATCTTTGGATGGATCTTCAGCCAACTGGAAGCTGGTGGAACTAATGCAAGGTGAGCTTTCAGACAGTTCTTGTGAACTCTTACAGATTGGATCCTGTGGCATTTATGTTGTTCATAATGCATTAAAAACCAGTTTTCAAAAGCCAGGATGGGAGATTGAAGGGTTTATTAAAGTATGCTACCATTTCTTCAAAGATTCTCCATCTCTTTATGTTGACTACACATGGGTAACTAGCTGCATCAAGTTTCCTTTGAAGTTTGTTGGCATGCAATGACTAGAAAATCTTGCTGTGGCTAACTGGCTTATTTTTGCATTGCCAAATCTAAAGAATTATGTTGAAGTGATCAAGTTCATCCACGAGCTTTACAAAAGTTATTGACGGCTTTCAGAATGTCAACATTTTGCAGGCCAGATTTCAATTATTTGCTTCTCTAGCTGCAGAGCTTGAACCATTCCTCAGAGAATTCCAAGGCAATCATCCCTTTGCTCCTTTTCTGTTCCAGAAGCTTCAAACAATCCTGAAGTATCAGTTAGACATTTCTGCTCCCGCAAATAATGAAGTTGGTGAAATCTGGATCAGATCTTTTCAAATTTGATCTCGAAAAATCAGGTAATTTGCATTCAGTTTGCAAAGGTGAATTTGGGTTTGGTGCTAAGAGAGCTCTTTATGGAAGCAATGTGCCAAGACAAACAGAAAAAGTTCTTGAATTCAGGATTAACTGTTGAGAAGTTCTGAAAACTTTGTCTACAAAATAATTTATAAAAGAGTCCTTTCAGATACCCTTTTACTCTCTCAACACAGGTTCAGTCTATTTGACCAGCCGCTTGACCTCTTTGTACTCATTTAAAGCCATTATAGATTTGATACTACTAACATTTAATATAGTATGTATATCTTCACAAAAATGTCAGTTTTTTAGTAAACATTAAAAGTCTTTCACATACAAAAAGTCATATTTTTTAGTGAAGTATTTTAAATAAACTAAAAAAAAAGATTTATCCATGAATATATTGAGTATTTGTTTTGAATAGTCCATGTGCTTAGTGATTTTCACTTTAAGATTAAAAATACTTTTCTTCATCTCAAAAATCTCAAATTTCATTGATGTAATTTCTAAAACTTCTTAAATACATTTCAAATATTTGTTTTCAGTAAAACTTAATTTTATTTGTTATTTTCTCCACCTTAACTCTATACAAGGTTGGTCAAATTAACCAACCTTGTAATCACCAAACAAAAATAGAAATAAATATGAATTACCCTTTTTTTCTTTTTAGAATGACTTCAAATTCTAACATGAAACTACATGAAACTCGTAACAGTATACATCTATTTGTAATTAAATTTTATTGTTTTATTGCCCTTTGAATTGTGTCTAACTGCTATTCATGTCATTATAAGTTGTAAATCACTTGGGAAACGTGGAGCTAACATCACGCTATCGATTCACGTTACCCATGAACTGATCTCATGCATGCCTCGTGAAACATTTTTATTATATTGTTATTATTATTTATTTTACCTAACCTAACCTTAAATAAGCTAAAGAGATCCCTATTGTTACATTTTAATAACTTTTATAATAAAAAATAAAGAATAAACATAAAAAAGATGAAATATAGTACTTACCCAAGTATTTTTTTATGTCGACTGTCGATGACACTTAACCCAACTTGTTTATACTAATGGTAGTAATGTACTAATTAATTTTTATTTAATTAAATAATACACCAAAGAACGTAGAATCATAACATGCAAAAAGCAAACAATTTCGTATAATTATCACAATTTTTCTGGCTTTCTAACTCTGCGACAAGAGACGTTACAAGTTCATACAAAGCTTGTACTAACAGAGAAATGGACAATTCTCTATTCAGAAACAACATAATATAATCCGTCATTTGATAGATGAAAACGTTGGCTTTCTATTCATTATAGATAATATAGAATTAAACATACGAGAGAGCTATTAATAAATCCTGAAAGAGAGGATGTGACAGGTGGGTGTGGTGAGAGGGGTCTGATTTACTTCTTGATGGCTCTGTAACCAAACAAAATTGAAGGCTATAAAAATTATGGTTTGTCTGAGCAATGACGATTTTATAGTGAGTAAGTTATGTTTAATTTCGTACTTATTAGAGTGGTGGTGAATAAAATAGGGAAGAGGAGATGCCTAGAGAAAATGTGTCACATTAGGGGAAATTCAGGATTTTTTTAAATATTGCATTATAAAATTAAGAACTTAAAACTTGTATACTATTAAAGTATGGATTATTAGCCAAGATTGTATGCTATTCTAATTGGTATAACATAAATAAAAAATAGATTAATAAAATTTTGAATGGAAGTTACTAAATTGTTGTGACATGCACAGTAAATGATGCCTGGGCAGATAGGGTTAACAAAAGCCATTAGCTCCTTAGATCCTAGTCTAATCTGGACCATTCCAGCACAGAGTATGAATTGATTTAACTCTCTTTGCAGCAAATTAATTGATGCTAGTTGGCTAACATCTACTTTGGCTGATTAAATTTCAAATGGATGGGATGATCTGTTGGGCTCTCCAGAGCAATTTCTGGAATAAGTGAAAGCTTTTCTAGATGCCCTGCATCTGCTGAAGATGCTAAGGGTAAAGAAAATCTATTGAAACCTGTTCAGCAATGCATCACTTTGATGAACATTTGAGTGCCTTAAAAATATCTTTGAGATAAGCTGGTTCTCTTATTGTCTGAATGATTTTTTCAGATATGTGGTAGATTTAATGGATTTCTTATGTTCTGTCGGTCAAAGGATTTAGTTTTTACGATATTGTATGAAGAGGTTAATAAACTGTTTCTGTAAAACCTTGCAAAATTGATGTAACCTGTATATTTTATTTGCCACACATTTATCATATTGTCCGAGTGATTTTCTTTGGATATGTAGTAGATTTAAAGGATTTCTTATGTTCTGTCTATCAAAGGATTTACTTTTCACTAGGTCATGTGATGAGATAAATAAAGTATTTGCATCTATAATAATAATGACATGTATCCCCTGTTATATCAATGAAAAATCCTAAAAAAATCATAAATTTTATTGCAAAAGTCATAATTTTTCACACAATAACATTTGTAGACATCTTGTTGTTGGTTGCAGGGTTTCTAATGACATACGAGTCAAAAATATAAAACAAGCACTATCAGTATTGCAGTTAATTTCACTAATTACTGTTGAGGTTTTCTTTGTTTTTTACCTAGCAAATAAATAATTTCTTCCATTTTGTTGGTCAGTTCTTCACACTGAGTGCTGTAACAGGCAAAAAATAAAAATTTACTCTAGATGATCCAATATATAAACTCCAACAGTGAACAACATAAAAGCAAGTCGGCAGTTTGAAAGTTGGAATAAAAAAAGTAAGTTTATAGTATGCATTAAGGATTGTATAGCACATGTTTCCAGTATAAGTATGACACATTATTATTATGTAGTCTACCATATACAATTGATATTTTCAAAACAAATTCAATATGTATGCTGATGAATTTCATACCTGTATGTTTTTTTTTTTTTTCAGCCTAAGCTGGACTTTGAGCCAATGTGTGATGTCCTTCATGAATACAAGGGGATGTTGGCTGCATGGCCAGACATACTACAACTGCATAAGGTAACATTTCATTTTGGTTTATATGATGATTTCTGCAATTGTAAATCTCATCTTTTCTTAGGGGGGGGGGAGAGGACTGAACCATAAGGTAATTTGTTTTTGGAGATCATATGTTTGAATTTTTTAGTTTTCATTCTGCAAAAAGAAACTTTTCTCTTTACTCTTTCATCTTTTCTTTTTGATAAAACATCACATTAAAAGTTTGTTCAAATTTATATGTATAATAATGTTTTATCAGAGGATAGCGTACTTTATTATTAGTATTCAGTTTTGTGCAAAATATACTTCAAGCCCATTGCAAAAAATTAATTTGTTTAAATTGAAAATGCTTGTATCTTTTGAAATATTGTCAGTTTCAGGTAAGTAGCCATTATTACGATATTTTCTTTTGAAAAGAAAATATGGTATGAAAAATCAACTTTATAATAACTCTTTGGTGTGTAGGGTGCTATGAACAAGAGAAAAGATTATCAGCGGCTTAATGAAGATGGTAAGTTAAGTGCAGAAGAAGCCCAATCTATAAACAAGAGAACAGACGTGGTGTCTTATGCAGCACTTGCTGAAATTTCTCACTTTCAGTCTGAACGAATAGAAGATTTTAAATATATGATGCAGAATTTTCTCTCTGCCCAGATTTCATTCTATCAAACGGTATGTTGTGTTTTTTTGTTTCAATTTTGAATATTAACTTCAGTTCACTACACATTTAAAAAAAAAAAAAACTCTTAAATCTTTTCTGCTAAGCATACTTATAAAAGTCATTGATTTATATAGGTTATGTGTGGCTTTCTTCTTATAAAAGAAAAGTAGCTTTATATTAAATTTATATTACAACTGATATTCAGACTGAAGTTAGTATCATCACTATTGACTCAGACTTAATCTGTCACCACCATGTTAGCTTACATTAATTTTGAATCATGATTGTTGACCCTGAGGTTTTACAGTTGCCATGAAATTATATTAAACAAGAGAGATATCAAAAACATATGGCTCTCAAGATTTTCAAGAAAATTTAAACTTTTGTTGTCATTGTTCTATAACAATAATTTCATATGATATACTTATTTAGTCATTTGAAAATCAGATGCAGTGATTTAAATTATAACCTGAAACTTAATATGTAACTCTGTACAAAGTTTTAGACAGAACAAATGCCAAAAGCCATATTATTCAAAACTCTGATGGAAAGTGAGTGGCAATATTATATATGATAAGGTTTGTACTAGGCCACTTTTTACATTTAGGGTCATAATTAACTATATAGCATTACCAGTATTTTAAACAAATTATGCTTTGCTATTTTATCACTTAGAAATTAGTCAAAAAGTTCCTGAGTTCCAAATCAAATGTGCAGACAATCATATATATACCATATCATTTCAAAATTTAATAAGAAGTTTCATTTTATCTACTTTTATTTAACCACTAATATAAAAATGTAGAAGTTGTTATGATACTTTTAAAGCAGTCTAATGCCTATGTATATCGTCAGTAGATAATGTATGGCTGTTTTTTTTATGTTTCTAACCAGTTTAATGAGAGTGAAACATATGGTACTGCTCTATGAATTCTTTCAGCCTAAGAAGTCTGTTAAAATTGCAATTGTTGAACATGAATTTTTTTACTTATTACATTTTTGTTAATAATTCCTTTAGGTTGTTAGCAAACTTCAGGAATCTCTAAGCCTGTATCAACAACTTTGAGACATCTAGCAAGAAAGACAAAAAACTGTTCATCTTTGAATGCCTAGACTCAAGCATATTAGCTATAGGTGATAGAATATACTATAAGTTTATTAAGCATGTAAAAATAAATATGTTAACATGATTGATGATAATGACAACTTCATCAAATTTTACTTCAAAATGAAGGTACTTTTTTATATTTTTAAAAACATTTGAGTTCTGTCTATAATTCAAATGAAGAACTGAAAGAAAAGAGTGATTTATTTTGGAACTCATTATTTGAAAGACATTGTGAAAACTTAATCTTTTTAGGCAAAGAAAATACAAATTGAACATTGCTATGTTGAAGTGCCAGGAGTTTTATGAAATTTATTTGAGATAGCTGCTCTAGGACCTTGACCTTTTAAGTTTTAATCTGTAATAAATATAGAGTATTAGATACAATAAATCTTGAAGGCAGTGGAGAGGACTGACTTCTGTCTTTGACATAGAGTTCAACAGTGTAATATATTAAACTGCTCTTGTCATCAAATATCCACAGAAAAATAGTAAACTGTTATTTTAACACATACTCATATATGTATATGGATTAATAATGAATTGTTTATTATAATAATTTCATCTCTATGTTCTAATTGTACTCTTTTTCATTTATATGTGTGTATTTATATATATATATATGTATATGATTTCTAAGCTACTTTTTAAATGTTTTTATATTCCTACAAAAGAAAGTAGTGCTTTGATGAGTAAACAAATCATAATGTGAATGTTAAGTTCTGGACTTAATTTTCTGTGTTTTAGTGTTGATGTACCAGATGGCATATTGATTTAAGTTGATTATTCCAAAACTTGTGAATATTTACTACCTTGTGCTTGACAACTAATAAGTTTATTAAGGTTTGGATTCTTCCAGACAATGAATAATGTTGTCATTGTCAGAGTTTTCAGTAGCACAGAATATATTTTAAACTATGTAATGTAATGTTTTCAGTGTACATATGTATGCTGTGGGTTTTTAGTGGTCAATGCTAGAATTCTTCATAAAGTAATAATTTTTCAACCTAACTGCATACAGGTGATAAAGTATGAGTAAGTCAATTGTTTTCACAATACTGTAAAAATATTTCAATTATAGAAACTCAATAATCTGAGCACCTTTGAAAGGTAGACTTTCCTTAGTTAGAATTTAATTGGATATGAGCTGCAAGAGAGAAGATATGTTCAGTGATCTGCTGGTATCTGATGTAATTAACTGATAATCCAGTAGTGTCTATGATGGTTTGGAAAAATTATATTACTGGTGTGACAGTAAGTTGTAATTTCAGGGGTAAGATAAGAAAGAAATAGGATGGTAAAGAATGCATGCAAAACATAGAAATGTGTAAAAAATAAAGGGGCAAGCGATTCATTATTTAAAAGGTAATAATGGATTAAATAATAAAAAAATTGCAAAAGAATGTGTGAAAATAGAATTGACTGGTAGGTATGTAAGAGAGAAAAGTATAAATATAAATGTATTGTCACATGTGAAAGTGATGACAGCTTTAATTATTTATTAAATGGTGGGCAGAGCACAGATAGCCCATTGTGTAGCTTTGTGCTTAACATCAAACAAATCTTTTGATTATATGAATGCAGTGACAACTCCAAATTCTGAGAAGATCTAAAGTATGATGAATTTTGCTACTGAATGTTTTCATCAATTTTTTTTAATTATTTCTTTAGTATGCTCAAAGTTACAAAGATGATTCATGAATCACAGTAAGTAACTTTTAAATGTTTCGGTTCTTAATCTGATTGGTTAGTCCTTTTACATTTACAGCCAAAGACTGGAAGATGTTTCATTGGGTGGGGTTATCTTGTCTAATGCTGCATGGTGCCTGAAGATGTGGTATTCTATGAACTTTAGTTTTTAGTGGAAATCTTTTGGAAGGCAGAGAATTATTAATGACAGGATCCGCTGCCCTAATTTCCCTCCAATTCTGTCAGTGTATTCAACATGTGTGAGTAGGAATTAATTTGCAAACCAGTGATCCCGTATTTGAAATATTTTTACAGTATTGTGAAAACAATATTAGCATCTAATTTTAAATTGAAATGTTTTGGGTTTTTTTCATTTTATGATCTATACCAAGAAAAATATATAATAAAATTATAAATTTTCCCATTTTTGTGTTTATATATATATTATAGAAGGCATCAATTATATGGATTTTGTAGTGGTGCTTGTTTGTTTTAGCATTTTCCAGTATTTCAAGACGCGTATGGCCCATGAAAAGAAATCAATTTTTGTTAGTATTTTCAAGACTTTAACGAAACATCTGTCAGAAATTGCTCTTTGCTAAACGTTATGTTTTTATTAAAGTGACTTTTTTTTAAAGGAATTTGGTATGCCTAAAAGTCAAACATTTTTGCAAAATATTGAAACATAGTTCTGATGATGGCAAAATTTCTAAAAATTTCACAAAAGATGGATTTGTGTAGGTACAGTACTTAGTCATTGAAATTGCCAAGAAGTAAATTATGCTCTGGAATACCTGATTATGTCCATTCAAAGTTAAATTTGTTTTAAAGAATGTTGACATAAATGTATACATAAGTATATAGTTAAAGTATGACTTAATGAAAGTTTGCTAGAATTTTTTTCGTATACCGATTTATTATTTTATATTCAGGTGTTTAAGTTCTACTATCAGAATTGTTTTATTTGAAAAAAGAAGTACAGAATTCTATAATATGCTGACCATTGAAGATGAAAGTCATCTATGAATACAGTCCTAACATCCAGTGGTAGATTACTATTATTTTTGTTCTGAAAATACAGATAGGTATTCTTTCTCATCTTAATTCTTCACGTGCATTTATTTATTAAATGTCAGTTCAGTAGTCCTGGAAAAACTAATGTCTCTTAATTAATTATTTAGAATAGTCACAAATGCTACCATAATTTAGCAGTGTTATTAAATTACAAAAAAATCTCCACATATTTTTGGTAAACAAAAGCATATCTTGTTTCGATTATTAAAGAAAAACAGTTATAGAGCCCAAAAACATGGTCATAAGGCTTAAGTCTGTACAAACCAGGTCAACAATCACCAACTTTTTTTTTTTTACTATAGAAATTAAAATTTGTTAAGAATAATTAGTCATTATGTTAAAGCCATAGAGCTATAAGAAATGTCCCAATTAGAGTTTAGGGTATTTTCAAAATTGTTTGACATAAGTTCAGTCAACCAAGTTAAGTGTAAGCCTACAAGCAGATTGCACTATTTTTTTATTTGGGTAGTGTATTGAAATTGTGTTTCCATATACCACATAAACTCAACATTTAAAAAATTCCATAAATATGCCACTAGGAGACATTTAGAAACATTTAACAAATTATAGATGAAAAGCAAAAGTAGACATTTGTACTTAAACAAGAAAGAACAAGACAGTTAATAATTTTATTTCCATGTTATGGAACGTGAATATATATTTTGTACATTAATTATTTGCATAGCAAAAATATATTTCAGTTTTGATTCTCCTCAAAGGTACTCGAAGAAATAATACATAATTACATGCCCCTCCTGAGTTCTGATGATACTTCAAAGTAATTCTCTGAAATATTAATTGGATTAAAATATAAGTACTATTATAATATTGTTACGTCTCCGTTTGTTAATTAACTTTCCGTAACTTCGTTCCGACGAAACTTTAACGACACAAGTCTTTACTTAATAAAACTGGTTTATTCTTTCCGAATACAACTCTACGATACACTCACCTTCAACAATCGCGTTATAAC